TGTAGTAGGAGGAGGACTTGAACATGTCGGAGTTTTCTTGTGACTTGGCTTGTCCCCGTTGCTTGGAGATTCTCTAGTCGAGGTAGGAGGTGTCATTGTTGTGAGGACTTGAGTGTATGAGCCGTAGGTATTGGAAGAGTACTTGGCACATTTGAAGTCATCTTGTACTTGTCGCTCGGCCCTGGTCGCTTGATGAACTAGCTCGATAAGGTTGGAGTATGGTTGGAAGTCGGCAATCTTCTTTATTGGGTGATTGAGGCCGTTCAAGAAGCGTGACATAGTTTGTTCGTCATCTTCCTTAACATTGGTCCGTATCATGGCAATCTCCATTTCTTGGTAGTATTCTTCCATTGTCTTCGTGCCTTGCTTGAGGAGTTGCAACTTCTTGAAAAGGTCACGGGTGTAGTGTGTAGGCACGAAGCGAGCTCTCATGACATCCTTCATTTGTGTCCAAGTCATGATGGGTGGTTCGCCTCTTTCCTGGGGTCTGGAGGCCGTGCGCATAGGGGTGCGTGTCTCGGTTACAGAAGCTCCCAGGGAGGCCTGTGCGCATGGGGTCTTGGGGGGCCGTGGGCACGGGGTCGCCTGGGAGGTGATGTGCTACTCCAATTTGGCTCCTCCTTCTTCTGTGTGGCTTTCAGGTGCTTCTCCAACTCCTTTGGGATGTCCATTAGCTACTTGGTGGCGTTGGTCTTCGTACCTAATGACATATAGCATGTTTTGGTGAGGTAGCAACCAAGTTCCATTTATATCCATATAGATCTCGAGTAGGAGTGAGTTCACCTCGGTTTCGATGGCGCGTGCTCGAGCTCTTGTCATAGGTCCATGTGGTGCTTGATGTGTTGGTGTAGAGTCCATGGGGATGATGGAAGGATGCTCGCATCAAATCATCTGATGACAACGCCGCTGCCATGGCACAGGTGACGCGACATGTCATCCTTTTTGGAGGACGAGAGGCTGTCGGAGTAGAATCTGCCGCCCTCTTCTTGGTTCTCTTCTTAGTACCCTGATGACAGAGAGAGGGAGATGATAGAAGGATGGGGAAGATGCAATGAGGAACATGATAGAGAGGCGCTACAACGTAATGCAATGAAAGAGAAAGAGGGGCGCCTCCTTTTTGACCAAATGACGATCTAGGCAGAGGAGTTAATGCCTCGCTCCGCATGGCGCATAACTCCAGGGGTTATCGCTCCGCACGGAACCTAGAAACCGCTTCCCTAGTTTTAGAGGAAACTGCATCGTGTTCCCAACACTATTTTCTAAACTATCCCATTAAATGGTTTGGCCCCACCCATAGTGAGGAAAAAGGAGGCACTCTTTTAAATTATGCAACCACAATCGTTATGGGCGGGGCCAGGGGCTACTTACAGCATATTCAATATAGGTGTATCATGGAACCCCTATCAAATGGGCCCGTTCAAAAAAAACATAATCTGACAAGGAAAAGACACGGTTTTTACTATCCAAATTAGTAAAAATCGGTGCCATCTGAGGCATGCATGAATCTTCAAGTACACGGCTACTACCATACCATGGGCCATAGACGATCCTAAGGTAAGTCAAAAACGTCAGTCATGACGCCATCGGAGCCCAAAGCCCCAAGCATCCAGCACACGTGTCACGAGGATAAGTAGTCCTTGTCGCACACTCCACCAACCATGCATCAAATGCTTGATCAGGCTGCTCAATGTAGCTCGACGCAGGTCTACGGGCATAGACCTCCATCATCACGAAGACCTGGCTGGACGAGTGCCTTGAGCCGGTCAGGTGCAGGCCTTATCAGTTAGGTGAGAGTGCCCGAGCTCTGGCCCACCTTTTTGACAAGAGAGATGGTGTGTTGTGTCACGTCAAGTTGAGCATACACCAAGAGTACTCAAGGACTTGACACACTGCAATGTCATCTCATCCTCTGCCAAGACCAAAGACCAGTTGCACGTCCGCAACACCTACTTCTAC